AAATCTCAAGGACCTTTGGAAGTTGCTGAAGGTAAAAAGGATACTCTGCTGTCTTTTGGACACAGCTCATTTCCTATGTTCTTTTCTCTGGACATTCTGATCTGTTCCTGTTTATACATGTGTGCCTTTGCTTATGTGAAGTAAATGTTTCTTTGAAGCTGTTGCTGATATGAGCATCCTGCTAAGAGGCAGAAATAGGATACCTGTGTGCTGTGCACATTCTGTCTTTAGGCTGATCAGTTTATCTCAGACAATTTCTATCCATGGGAATCCAAAAATTAAGGAAATCTTTTCTGCCCTGTTTGTACTGCAGTCTTAGTGAGAATCAGAAACTCTCAGCCAAACATATGAGGCATAAAAAAATTAGTGATACTTCATAAATTATTCTCCTTTATGCACATTTGATGAACAGTATATAACCCAAATAATTACCTTACTTTGAACACAAATGAAGATGTGATGTGATCTGCAGAACTGGCACACTTTTTGGAAGAGCAATTGCTCAGGCACTGCAGCTACTTTATTAGAAGAGCTTCCTTCAAGGGTTAACACATTTGTAGCAGGGAATAGTTTGGGACCTGAGATTTATCTGTCCACAAAGGAAAGCACAGTCAATTAAAGGTGTCTGGAAGACAGATAGAGAAAAGTTGCAATATGCATTATTTGGCTTAGTATCTCTATACCCAAGAAAATTAATGCTTTAAATAGTCTAGTTTTGGAAATTACCTAATTGAGTAGCCTAGTTTTGTAATCTGAAATGATAGGGAATTTTTTTATGCAATATAATTTGCTTCACTTTCACATCAAATCAAATTTAGATGCCTTAAAATCAAAGTAAACTACTTTTCTCTGTCAACATCACTACCTAACTAGGAGGTACTCCTTTTATACTCTTAAGACAACTGGTTAAAATTTAAGTAGCATAACACTGTGCCTGCAACAAAATTCCTCTGGGATGATGGACAAGTGAATACATCCAAGTTTTTCATCCTTGGGCTAATTCCATCCTGCACAGATAATTTCAGAGTGTTTAGCATGAGATTACCAAGATCCAGACTTCCAGTTCTGATGGTGACAATTGCAACAAAAGCAAACTGATACCATGCTGTGGACTCTGCAGATCCTGGAGAAATAGTAGGCTTTCTGAAAAATTAATCTGAGGTTCTTAATTGAACATAACTTGTGAGGACTTTCAACAAACAACTTTGATTTTCGTGTCCTTGTCTGAAATTGCCCAGCTGTGGAGTGGATCTAAATATTATTCCCCAACACTCTGGAGCTGTAATGATGATGATGCAGGATATTTGTGCAAGGCCCTCAGTGACAGCACTGCAGAAATATCTATGGGGATTACAGATACTGTATTCAGGGTGAAGTTCTCATACTTTGCATAAAACAAACCCAGAGGCTGTGCTGAATGAGAGAGCTAAAAACCATTATGAGTTACTGTGTGCTCACCAAATGAGCCCTGGGTCCTTTGGTCTCCAAAGAAATAATGATTGATCACAAAAGGAAGGATGAGACAGTCAGGTTATGATTGCAAGCGAGCCATTGTGGTGTATTTTAATTCCAAATGTATTCCTTTGGAGAGGTAATGTAATTAAGAAGGCACATTGGGTTAAAAGGTCATTGCAGGCTGGTTTCTGTTCCAAACTAAATGTTATATTTTCGTTTGTGGTAGCTGCACTCACTCAGTCTAGCGGCCTAGCAGCAAAGTTTGTCATCCACTGTCACATCCCACAGTGGGGCTCGGACAAGTGTGAAGAGCAGCTCGAGGAGACTGTCAAGAACTGCTTAACGGCTGCAGAAGATAAGAAGTTGAAGTCTGTGGCTTTCCCCCCATTTCCCAGTGGCAGGTAGGACTCCCTGTGTCGGGTGGCAGAGGTGGAATTGGCTGTCAGAGCTGCTGCTGTAACAGAGAGGTGCCCTCTGCTCTGTGACCCTGCCTCTGCTGCTGCTGCCATCTGACACCGTGCTGCTCCAGAGGAAACCGGCCTGAAGTGCGGTGTTTGCATGAAACTGCCAGAGAGCTTTATAAAGAGAAATTACCCAACCCACAGGAGAGCTGAGTGGGCTTGCTGTGTTTTCTATTGCTAGGCAGTCATTTTCATTCTTCTGCAGCAACTCGGGTTTTGTGTCCCTTCATTTAGCTGTGGGGAATCTTATGAAACCTGCATTTGTACTAATAAGATTATACCAGCATAATGCTGAAGGCAGGTAACAATGATGCAACCTGAGCTACATAGACATGAGGTGTCCACTTCAGCCATCCTGGGACTAGATACCAAAAAGACTTGTCACACAAAATCCTTTCTTTCTGGAGAAAATGAGGGTTTCTCAAATGTAATTCTGCTTTTAGAAGGGAAAACTTATTAAATATGAAGCTACACATTTCTTTCTCAATAACTAGCAAGCAGAATGTGCTTGACTAAGAAATCTGAAATATTTATCTTTTTTTTTGTTTTTAAATTTCTTTTTAAATCAATGGTTTGTTGGTCTCTGATAACAAGAACACTTACCCAAGTCCTGCTAACCGCAGAAATTGTTATTTTGTGTCAGAGTTCACATGCTCTGATTTGATTTGAAATGTGTCTAGTGATTTTGGTAGTAGTGCCCGAAGAATAGAGTGCATAGTACAGTCCAGTTGTGCTAGCCCATCAGTAAATAAAATGAACATAAAACAGCATTTGATCAGTGAAATCACTGCATGTCACTGAATACACAGGAGGTGAAAGTGCCATTTTTACATAGATACGCTTTAAAGCAAAAATAGTATTTCTATTGGTGAGGACAAAATATTAAATAGAGGGAAAGTGCAATTTTTAGTAATTTTTTAATATACAGATATTTTTGTTAATGGTTTTCAGTCAAGGCAATATGTGATAAATTGTTTTAACAGTCTTTTATATAAAGTACAACTTCCAAAAATTATACAACTTCCAAAAATTAACTGTAACTCTTAAAGCCAATAGAAATAGTTTCTAGACCTCACATCTTCTAAGAGCACAGAATCAGAATAATCCATTCTTGACCATCAGTCTTCGTGCAGATCCTTCTGTTGCTTTGTTCCATTTCACTCTCTGTTTCTCTTACAATTACTTCTGCTCACTGAAGATGAGTGTAAGTCTTATCAGGTGCTGCTGGTTTACACTTTATTTATCAAAGAACCTCAGAATTTGCAGAAAAAAAAGCAGTCTCTCAAATAGGACTTCCTGGTTTTGCTGTCATTTTCTGCTACCTACATGTCTGCACAGGAAATGCTGGGTTTGTGGGTAGATAAAGAATTATACTGTGTCAGTTTTGTGAGCTTTTGGTTTCCTCTGTCCCACCTTTGGGACTATTTGCAGTAACTGATGTAACATTGCAATAGATGGGATACCTCAGTTGTGCCAGATCTTTTTGATGGTTTTCAACGTAAATATGATTGTAGGTTAAAGAATATTACCAGCTGAGTGAATGAATGCCTCTCAAGCTTAATTTGGCTTGGATCTGTAATTTCAATGATTCTCACAGGAATCTCAAGCAAAGTATTTTAATGACAGAGTGAGGAAATCAGCTAAGTAGGTGATGTTTTGGGGTTTTTTGTCTGAAAAAATAATCATTCAATGAACTTTTTAGCCTGCCCAGCATGGCATGGAAAAGTTTAATTCTAAGGTCAAGCATAAGAAAGCTTTGTGTGGTCAAAAAAAGTAGAAGCAAAGGAAAACAGCAGCTATGCCAGCAAGGAAACTTAATTCAGCAGCAGGTGAATATTGGTATCAAAACTTTGGGGTTTGCCAGACTGCAAGTGGCACTGTCTTAGCCTGTGGCTGGAACAGCTCTGGCTGGTTCCTCTCAGCATCACTGCTCAACACTCACCTGCTCTCTTTTCTTCCCCAACCACACAGAAACTGCTTCCCAAAACAGACAGCAGCCCAGGTGACCCTCAGAGCTATTTCCACCCATTTCGACGGCACCAGCTCATCCTCCTTGAAGAACATTTACTTTCTGCTCTTCGACAGTGAAAGCATTGGCATCTACGTGCAAGAAATGGCCAAGCTAGACACTAAGTAGCAACGGCAGCCAAATGAAACTTTATTTTTCAACAAACTTGAGTAGCATTAAAAGCATTAGAGGTGGGTTTTATTTTTTCAGTGTGATGAGGATGGGGAATGGTAGTGGCGTGATGTGTTGTGATTTGATGGAGAGCTGTGACTAGAGATGAGAGGGGTTTAGTCCGATTTCTTCATGCCATTTTAAGCAATTAAGTTACCATCTGCTTTCAGGAGTTTAGTGTCCCTTGTTACTTTAGTTTAGAAGTTTTTTAAGAGTAACCTCATTTTAGATTTGTAGTGATGATTTCTTCACACACACACACATACACCCAACTTTTAAAAAAGCTCTTAAAAATGTTCTGCTTCTTTCTCCCCTCCCTTGAGGGTAGATGGTAAACTTCTGTTCAGCCCACAGCGAGGTGAGAAGGGTTTTAGAAGTGATGGATGAGAAACTTCTGTTTTGCTTTTAACTCAAAATAACCTCTGTAATTACTGAGACTATTTCATTGTGATTTTGTTTGTTTTATAAGAAAAAAAGAAAAAGATGTGTCAAGTGTGGTTATTATTATAAACACTAATTTTGCTCTGGGAATTTCTCACCCTAAAAAGTGAAAAAAGGGAAAAGAAAAAAAAAAAAAACCAGCAGCATCTGTAATCGAGTGCTTGCTGTATCACAACCAACAGCTTTTCTGGCTGAAATTTAGTGTTGTAAGTGATGTAATTGAAGCTGCTGAGGAGATTTTGACACAAAGCTGCATTATAGTCTCTGAATTCCAGGCTTGCCATATCCCCTTCCAGGTTTTAGACAGGCTTTTCCCTGGCAGCACTGTGAACCGTTCCACCTGCAATGCTGCAGAGCAGATCTGTAAGAAGCAGGTCCTTCTTAGAAGAGCAAGAATAGAGAAAGCCAGGGGAAAAAAAAACATAACAACAACGCATAACAAACAAACCACAGAGATTCTGAAAACCACAGTGTTTATTGTTACAAATCGAGGTAAGCCAAGCTTCTTGCCCAGAGCTCTCTCAGCAGGGGGAGTAAAAGAAACATTTATTCCCTCATTTTTAATCATTGGAACTTCTGTGCAGTTCATTTGGGAAGTGCCTCCTTCCCCTTTACAGCAAGGCAGGCACCCCTTTAATGAGGCACGGTGATGGGTGGCTTGAGGAGGTGCTGCAGGGGACAGTGTCAGTCAGTCCAAGCAATAGAAGTGCACCCTCACCCTCTTGCAGTTGTACTTCTTGCTGGATTGTTACTGGTGCTCTCTTAAGAGGGCATTGTCTGTCCCATCGTCTTCCAGCTCTTGGAGACGAACAGGTCCCGGCTCTTGGCAATGGTCACCAGGAAACGTCCCACATAGTAACCATTCACCTGGCCTACACCATCATTCCTGCCCATGGAGAGCAGGAATGTTAGTGACCCTGCAAAGGAGATGTAGAGGTGTAAGCTAAGCAACGGCTGTCCAGCCCCCCTGCATCCATGTGGAACAGCGTTCAGTATAGTTCTGGTAAGTGTTTACATCAGTGCTTGTGAACAAGACCCATCACCCAGCTAGATTTTTGCGACCAGATTGTTCAGTTTGTGTTTGTTGTAGTTTAAGGGGAGAAAAAAGGAGAGGGGAAGTCATCTTATTCCCAGGATTCAACTGGACAGTGAGCAATTTTAAGAAAATAAAGTAAGTTTGATGAATAGTAGACTCCCACCAGTAGATTTATCCAAGACATTAGTGAAGAAAGAACATGTTGTGTGGTAGACTGACACAGGTAATTAGTATCTACACCGTGTCTTTGGCAAGGACTACGATTAAGCCTGAGCTGTAAACTGACATAATCAACCCCAATTGTGAGCTCCTTCACAGTAAATTCAGTGAGTTCAGAGTCCCATGCAAGTTAAGACAGCTGCTCCTTGCAGAAAAGCAGCCCAACACCCAAAGCCAAGTGCTAGAAGATGGCCTTACCTGGCTCGTAGGTTTTGAGAGGCTTCTGTGTCAGACTGTTGATGATATTTGTCACCACAATGTTGGCATGGAGCCCAGCATGGTAGGCCATCTTGGGCTCTTTGACATCTGCACAGTCCCCAATGGCATAGATGTTCTCATAGCCTTCCAGCTGGAGGTGCTTGTTAACTCTCAAAGCACCATTACTTGCCATCTTGTCACCTGTTTTGCCAAACATCAAGTTTTTAGAAGCAGCTTTGTGTCGCTTGTTGTGGCCTGAGACCCCAAAACGCTGTGATGTTTTTGACACAAAGTAAGGGGTTGTTTTTTCACCCTCTTTTCCACATGTCAGGGAAGAGATGCTTTTTGCCTTGTTGTAGTTAATCACTGCAGTCTTGTGCAGTGCATCATCCTTTGATATTTCAGTAGGATCACTCCTGCAGGTTGTACACGCTTCATCCCTCACCTCGTATCCTTCAAGCACCCACCCAGTGGTTTGGTTTTTTCACTCACCAAATGCAGCAGCATATGCAGAAGAGTTAATCTTTATCCCTGTGCACAGCACCACCATGTCAACAACCAGCTCGGTGCCCTTCTCTGTCCTTACTACCATGTCCTTCTGGAACTGGTTTGGCCTGAGGTTTTCCACGTTGCTGACCTTTTCACCTGTTGCGACAGACAGCTCCAGGTCACAAACCTTTGTTAGGCTGCTGTTTCCAGCTAGCCCAGAGTAAAAGGAATTTGAAGGAGCCATGCATAGTCAAAAAAGTCAGAAAGAGGACATAAGGAGATGCTTTGGCCAAAGGAAGAAAAGCTTATAGATCTTCAGAAGCATTGTTAAGGACGTACCTAGCAGGAGCTGGACTCCTTTCCTGAGGAGAATCTCTTTCACCTCCTGACGGACACTGGCTAACAGCTCCACATCAGCCAGTGCAGTTTTGGAGTGAACGAGGATGACCTGTTGGGGACAAAACAGCAAATGGGGACACAGGAACAGAACAGGATTTGCTGTGTGCAAGGTGGGAGCAGCTACAGCTGGCTTCCCTCCACCCTGATTAATGCCTGCGAGGATGAACCAGGAAGGGGCACCTTGTGCCACAGTCCTTGCTGGTGGCAGGCTACAGGCTCAGAAACTGGATGTGCAGTCATCTTGGGTACCTCCAGCAGCACCACCACACAACAGTCTCAGAAATCAGGATGAAGTTAGCAGTGATGATGGTGCTCCTACCTCTTTGTCCTGGTAATCAGTTTTGATTTCGGCAGCCATCTCCACTCCAGCAGCACCACCTCCCACTATCAGGATGCGCTGAGATTTCTCAATCTTCAAGAGAAAATTTGTGTTACAAGAGAACTGCAAAGCGCAGGAAGCCGGATACCTTCAGTCATGCCATGGACATTCTGAGACATAGCACAAGTCCAACAGCAATAAACCTCTTAGTTCATTAAGAGAAAACAGAAAAGGAGAATCCCATGCATGCTTCCTGCCTATCCTGTCACACTGTTGAGCACTTCAGGTTTCCCCTTGTGCACAATGCTAAACAAGCTCCCTGTCTTGGCTTGGCACTGTGATCTGTCACAGTCCCTTGCTCTGAGACACAGCTGGCTCCAGATGTCCACAGTGGTATCTGGGGCAGGGAGGCTGAGCAAAGGCAGGCAGCGCTTCCTAGGAAGTAAGTTGATTCCTCACCTCTTTAACCATGTCTTCATAGGTCTGGATGGCACTTTCCATGTTAATGACTTGGTTGAACTTCCCAGGGAAGGGTCCATCACTGCCTGTTGCAAGAATGAGATGAGAGTAGTGGAGCTCCTGGGAAAGCAGAAGGTAGAATAGGATATTAGACTTCTTTAAAACGGAGCCTAGAACACAGTGGTTGTCTCTTAGGTATTAGTCACTCATTCCATCTTCTCCATCCCTTGCTGGTAACCAGGAAAGTACTTGTCACTGTCAGCAAGTGACTTTGGGAAGAGATCTGGTCCAGGTGACACCAAGTAACTGTTCCTCAAGGTGTGAGAGAAGCACCATTCAGGTGAGCTGAGAGCTTTAAAGAAATTACCCTAAATTTACAGGGAATAACCTGATATTTATGCTGGACATTTATAGCTGGTTCCAGAGATTAACTTCTTTCCTTCACCCTCTTCTGAACAGAAGTGAGATGCTCTGGATGGAAAGAGTGATGGATGCTGCTGCTCTTGTCTCCTCCTTAGTTAAATAAGGATCTGAGCCCCAGAGTTAATTGTTGAGCTCTAAATCCAGCTCTAAGAATAAAAGCTTAGCTGAGTGGGCGATGGGATTGCTTATTTACTGCACACTCACATTCCAGGACAGCTCTGGGCCAGAAGGGATGGTGCTGTGCAGGGAAGGATGGTCACTGTTGCCAAGTTCTTCAGGAGGATGGAACATGCCCTGCTGAAGGATGACTCCCTTAAGGTGATCCCATGAGGCAGCCAGGTCATTGCAACACCCACCTTGCCATCACTGAGCAAAACTTGTTGCCTCTCTGGGTCTATGCCCACGACTTTGCCTTGTTGGAAGCTGTCCCCAAAGGTGACTGAGTAGGAGATGAAAGTCTTCTTGGCAAATCCTGTGAGAAGAGGAGACAATGGGAGAGCTCTGCCTCAGTGGAGGCTAACAACCCCCTCTCCCCTCATGCTCTCCTTGCTTAGACAAAAGCAAGGCATGCAGCTGCAGCTGTGGGCTGGGACTTTGCTGGGTGTTATCTCTGCCCAGCAAGGAGCTTCAGGAGCTTTGCCTCAGGTTTGGTGATGAGATCAGCTCCCCAGGTGACCCCCTTGGCTAGATGGCTTTGTCTCTGCTCTCCGTATCTTCTGTGTTTGCCAATACAACTTCCATGGTCCTGGCAATTTCAGGTTGGGTGTCAGAGAGTTTTTCATGTTATCTGCCTCTCAGACCAAACTTTTGCCATCCTATCAATGGTTGTTCCTCAGTTTGAACATGAGATTTGCCCCTTAAGCCCCCTGGCCAATTCCAGGCCCAGACAGGCCTCTGCAGCTCTGACAGGCTTTTATCAGCCAGGGCCTCATTGCTGAGCTGCTCCACATTCTGAGATACACAAAGTGATTGACTCATCCCTTCCAGCTGCTGCTGCTTTTAGCTTAGTCACTTTCTAAACCCTTGAAATAAAATTTAAAAAAAAAAAAGGTGTGGGGGAGGAGAGGATAGTCTGAGCAGTTTTTGCTCAGTTTTCCCAGCGGATGTGCAATTAGCCTAACCACAGACTGGCTATGGGTCCTCCCGGAGCCAAGTGCTTGTTTTCCAGATGGAAAACATCGAGCCTTTCACCATCGCAGGGCGGAGGAGGCAGTGCAAGCACCCCGTTCCCTGCCGCTCCCCGAGTCCCTGTCCGCGGCTCCCGGTGGGACGGGGGAGCTGCTCCAGCCCTTACCGCTCTCCACGGCGGCCCGGAGGGCGGCCACGTTGTGATGGAAAGCATCTCTCACGTCCACCAGCACGAAGGGGACGGCCCAGGACTTGAGCAGGCTGGCGGCCGCCGTCCCTCCGAAGCCGCCCCCGACCACCACGACCCGCACGGAGTCGTCCAGGGACAGGCGAGAGCCCATGGCGAGCGGGGCAGCTGCGGGCTCCCGGCGGCGCAGGGGCTGTCCCGGTGCTCGCTCGGCCTTCCCGGGCGGAGCTGCGGGCGGAGCTGGGCTCCTCGGCGCTGAGCCCGGCTCCCGGAGCTCCCGGAGAGCAGCGGGCAGGGAATGCCTCCAGCCGGGCCAGCACCGCGTCCCGAGAGCCCTTCACCTGCCCTAAGCCTCCTCCGCCTACATCCCCCCCGCGACCAAGGGTTTTACAAACCAGCACTCGTGCTTTTAACTTCACCAATCTGCAGCCTGGGTGAATAATGCAGCGGAGAATGGCCCACTCCACCCCGGGAAACAACCCCTTGGAGAGGGAACTGAAGATTGCAGAATCACACAATCAATTAGGAAAAGACCTCTGAGATCATCGAATCCGATCTATGACCAAACAGCACCATGTCAACCAGACCATGGCGCTCAGTCTTTGCAGTCTTTCTTTAAACACCTCCAGGAATGGTGAATCCACGTCCCTGAGCAGTCTGTTCCAATATCTAATCATACTTCCTGTGAGGAAACTTCTCCTGATGTCCAACCTAAACACAGAAAGCAGATGTATTTGCTCYGTTCAGAGCCCAGAGAGACCTTTGCCAGAGGGATGGAGGGACAATCACAGAATCAGAATGATTTGGGTAGGAAGGGACCTTAAAGGCCACATAGTTCCAACCTCCCCACCCTGGGCAGGGATTCGAGCTCAGCATCGCCACGGTGGAGACAGGGGACATAAAGAGGAGCTGAGGAAGGTAGCAAATGTTTTTGGGGAAAGGGAGTGGAGAAGGTTGACAGTGTAAAGGACAATCCAGATCGTGTTTTTCCGCAGMACGGAAGTTGCCCCGAAAACTTTTGGCTCCTGTGGCATTTCGGATAAATATAGCTGCCGGCCCTGTGGATAAAAATAGCTGCTGCRCACACTGTGGTGCTGTGAGCTGGCAGAGCTGCCCCCACTCCCCTGCTCCCCACTGCTCCTCATCCCTCCCTCAGCGAAACGCAGCCCGGTGCCAAAACCCCCTCCCAGCAGAACTCCCCAAACCTGGGGGGTGGGAGACCACGAAGGAATTGKCGTCTTTTCCTGGAAAAGCGGGGGCTGAACTCAGGATTGCCGCCAGAGGGTGCAGCCAGCTCGGCCGTGGGGAGGTGGGACGCCRTGYCCRAGTCCAGCACACCCTCCCCTCGGCYGCAGGAGGGGCTCGGGAACTGGGGAAGGAGAGTGGCAAAAGGGGTGAAAGCAGAGGGGACGTTCCTGCACCCCGCGCTCTTCAACCTGAAAGAGAGCTGGGAAGGGAGGAATGGAACAGCCAGCAATAAAGCCAGAATGGCCAAGGTCCTTGATTGGAAAGACCACGGCTCTACTGAAATACATCTAGGGCAGGTCGGTGCTGTTTGTTACGCAAGACTCAGATGGAAATGCTAGAATTTTCAATAGGAGACAAATAATTTTGATTAATCTGTGCAATATAAACCCTTCAGAGCTGTTAAACAGAGAGGCACATGTCATGGCCCRGAGATCCAGGAGCTATGAATGTCCAGAGGCTGGGAAGTATCCCCAGGGTGCCAGTGCTCCAGGTCTGCTCCCTGTCCCCTCTCCTGGTTCTGGCACAGTCTGTCACTCTGTGAGGAGGCTGCTGGAAGGCCCTGGCATTGGCTGGCTTTGGGAAAGCACAATTCAAAGCAAACATTGAAAAAACCCAAACCCACTTCCATTTCTCTGCAATTTAATTCCAGTTTAAGCTCTTCTCTCAAATTACATGGACAGGCTTGCTTGGCACCCCTTGTGAACCCATCCCAGTCCTGGCAGGTTTGTCTTTACCTGTATAACTTCCTTGGCATTTCATCCTGCTGGAGCAAAGCTGGATCAAAGGCCCATTCCTAGCAGATAAGGATGTYGAGGGTGAGTTGCCACTTCCCACATGCTGCTGCCCTCTCCCCCTTCCTCTGCACCTTTGTGCCCAGCTCTGTCTTTTCCAGAGGCAGTTTTGAGCTTTCCATGCCAGGCATTTGCCTGTATTTCACAGCACATACCCACTGCTGGCAGCAATCCATTGCTCCAGGCATACTCTGCTAATTTCTCTTGTCACCTGCTGTTTTCCCCCTCCAGGTATATATGAGGGCTACCATCAGCCATGTCTGCAAACCCCCTGGATCAGCACCACATTCTCTCTGCCTACAGACACGTCCTGCACATCATCCTGTGACAGCCACAATGACACCAGCATGGCTGCAGCTCTCTGGCTGTGCCCCTGGRGGCTTTGCTTCAGGGAAAGGAGAATTCTGAGTCTCTGTTTGGACCATTCTTGCCCCACAGCTCCCCATTTTGCCTGGGTGAGCTGGTCACCCTCACATGCCTGGAGATCTGCTGCAGCCAAGGTGGAATGGAGTCAGTTCTGGGCAAGGAATCACCTGGAAAAACCAATTCAAACAGTTCCTGACTGCTTTTAAATATGAACACTGGCTATTTCATACTTTATACATAAAAATCTACTTTTAGCAGAAATCAACAAGGTCTTGTTTATATTTATTCTCTCCCTAACAAACCTCATTTTTTATTTTCAGTTTTTCAGTGTCTTGAGAAGACAAGCTGCTTCCCATGGGCAACAGCACCAAAATCACCCTATTTTGGTTAGGCTGGACCAGTCACATGTATTTATAGGCAGTGCCTCTCTATATGCCAGCTCATAAAATGGTCACAGATCTCACCAGAAAAGAAATTCAGGAAAACCCCAAAGATGAAATGCAATGGTGTCTGTGATTCAGGTGATCTTTGTGTCCATGAGAAGAGCCTTGGGGAGCGGGTATCTTCCTCTACTTCATCCCAGGGCTGTGCTGGGGATGCTTTTCTTGTTTTGCTGTTGTTTTTCCCGAGGTCACAGTGGACTCTGTGCCAAGGTGCTCCCCAGCTCTTCTTTCCCTGCACATCACAGCAGGATGAGTGTGGCAGCCTCAGCGTGCTGGGGTGACAGCTTCACCTCACCTGCCATGGCCACCTCCAAATTTGGGCTCATCCTAAGGCAGGTTTTGGAGAACCAGGGGTGGCCAGGCTCATGTCAGGTATGGGGTGAACAGGGACCAAGCAAGGGTTGTCCTTCCTCTTGGAGGAAACCCCAGCTCAAACAGTTTCTGCAACTGCCTTTGGGCTTTTGTGCTGTGCAGATCTTCCTTACCCCTCCAGAGCCAAGCAAGTAGCAGACATTAGGAATTTTACAGAAATGCCATTTTGTGGGAATTCATTCCTTACTGTGTTGCGATCCAGGCAAGTGCAACAAGAAGTTTTATCAGCTTTATTCATATCACCTGCCTGGCTGTAAGGATTGCAGGGATCCCTCTGGGAAATCTCTGGCTCTTGCAGCAGTGGAGCCCACAGACTGACAGTGCAGTGGCACCTTTCTTTWATGGGACAGCATGGTTTGTGGAATTAATCCTTGTGGTGTGGTAGAGGTGCATAAAGGATGTGCAATGTAAAACCCACACAGTGGCTGGGTTTAATTTGGGAAAAGGGAAAGGGCTTGAGCAAGTTCCTTTCCTCTTGGGGCAGGTTTTGAAAAAGAACAGCTTTCACTCCCGAYGTGGGGAGTTTTCTTCCCCTTGCCCCCCAGGTTTTATTACAGAGAAAGCACAGCGTAGAATAAAACTGTGTCCTTAAAAAAATGGGCCTCACAGACAGGCAGCCTTTGTCCGAAGGTGTAATTACAGGATAAATATGGGATGCAGACCAAGAAATGCAGTCTGGTCAGGCATGCAGTCTCTTAGAAAAACACAACAGAAAACAAGGCTGTCATTTAATGCTGAGATGTCCACGTGTGCTGCAGCCCTCGCAGGTCCCTCGTTGGCTCACGGGTCTCCCCACTGACCCAGCGTTTGGATGCTTGGATGTGCAGCCACAGCCATGGACCAGCTCCCTGCAGGAACCACACGGAGCCCTGCAATGGAGCCTCCAGAAAAAAACAGTGGGGCTGAGTGAGGGCATGTGATTGCTGGGATGATGGGTKTCCTTTCCTTCAGCCCCTGCTCAGAAATCCCATCTGATAGTGCTGTGAGGAGACGTGGGGGATTAGCTTATCCGATCCCATTAAATGGAGCTGGAGCAAGCGAGGAGAAGGGGATGGGGGTCAGGACAGCTGGCAGAGCAGCCACAACTTCTGCTGCTTGGGACAAACCTCCTGCCAGGCTGGAAAAAGGCCTTTTTATGGATTCCTATGGACCAGCCTGGTGGCTTTGCTTGGTGTTAAACTACAGGGCATCTAAGGTGGCATTTCAGAGACTTGCCTGCCTTGACCGCTCTCTTACTTGGCACCAGCAGCTCCTGCCTCAAGCAAGAGCTGCCTCTCCACAGCAAGCCCAGTCCATGGCCCCAGCCAGCCCCCAGTGCTCTGAGACGGAGGTAGAGAAACAGCAGGATGTACCCGCCGTCCAAAGTCAACTCTGGATTAGACAGGTGGGAAGGGATAATTTCCCAGAAATATCCCATTTAGAGGGGAACAGCCCATCCATCATTTATTAAAGCCCTCACTGGTGCTTCGTCATCTTGTGTCACCTGCAATGACCCCAAGGAGAAGCAGTTTTGGCTGGTAGCCCTGTCCCATGGGACACGTGCCCCCTCACTGCTCTGGACTACTTGTAGAAAAGGTCTCTTGGTGACAATTAGCATCACCACAATGTATCCAAATTGCCCCCAAAGCATAGCTGGGAGGTGAGCCTGAAGGCAGTACAGCCTCACTTTATTGAACAGAGTTGGAGTGGGGTGGGGGTTCTTTTGTTTGCTTATTTTAAACCAAGGTGGAGCCTTTGAGGTACTGTTTTATTTCTGGAAGCTAAAATCTTTTGAAAAGAGGATTTTTTTTTTTTTTCCATTGGTGTTGTCTATGAGAAGGGTGAGGCTGCATCCATTGCAGCTCCTGTTGTGGGCTTCCTGTGTGGTCCATCTGCATGCAGGGATGTCCTCACTCTAAGGCATTTTCTTTTGCTATGGCTTTCCTAGCSTGTGCTTTTCCTCCCAAATCCATGCCTTCCCTCCTCCAGGGAAAGAGCCGGGCACGGCCTGGCAGCAGCCAGAGCAGGCTGAGCAGGAGGCCCGTCTTGTGGGGGCACAAATGTCCCCACAGCCAGCTCAGGGGGAATTCAGCTGCTCCCATCTCGAAAGGAGCCGTGTCCCCCGCAGCTTCCCGATGCTCCTGGCACCGCGGGTTTAATGGGAGCAATTAGCCCCGCGGCAATCTGCATRGGTCGGGGGCATGTTTTCTCTCTGTCCTGTGACAGTTTTGACGGGAAGCTGGAGGCTGTCCAGGAACAAATGCTTGTGCTTGGCTGGCAGTGGCAGGCTGCAGCCAGCCGGGGCTGAGGCAGTGCAGGTGACAAAGGGCGGCTGTCACTGCCGGCTCTGGCCTGGGCTCTGCCCAGCTCCCGAGTCTCTCACCGCTTGATTTCTCTTTTCCTGCGTTTTCCTGTCTTTGCTCCCTGGACTCGGCTTTGCAAGCCCCAAAGTGCCACCGAATGCCCACGGTGGGATGGGAGTGGGATGCTGGGCGCTCCCCCATGTCCCCTCTTCGGCTGTGGCAACTCGGTAGCTACTCACCCCTCACAAACAATTACTCCATAATTTATTTTCTCATCAAAAGCTGACCTGATAGTGCTTTTCCAGAAGCATTTGCCTGTAACCTGCCTCCGGCTGTGTCCCCCCTCATGCTGGCTGAGCTCTGTGGGCTTTTCCCAGCGCGCAGCTGCGGAATATCCATCTGACCTCAGTGACCCCGCTCTTTCCCAGCAGGAAGCCTCCAAACAAAACCCGATTCACTCAGCAGCCCCGGGGCTGCTTGTGATGCCGAGAGCTGCGTGTGAGGYGGGAAGGAGGCTGGCACTGCCCATTGCCTGTAAGCCATTCGGGCGTGCCAAAAAATCCCCACTTTTGTGCCCTCTCCCCATCCAGCTGGCACCGAACACCCTGAATTCACACCTTGAAGGCAGATGCAGCCCGGCCCTGCTCGGAAAACCTTCGCAGCGGGGCGGGYGGGTGGGAGGCTGCCCGGGGCTCCGGCGTGGCTGCTCCCCGCCGGCCGGCCCCGCGCTCTCAATGCCGCCTCTGTTCTGCCTCTTGGGTCGAAAACGCAGCTTTTGTGAGCTCAGCCCAGCCCCAGCCCGTCGCCGGAGCCCCAGCGCGTTCCTCCCGGCCGGCAAAGCACAGCCCAGCTGTGGTCAGCCGCCACCTCTTTTCATTTATTTATCTTTGCTTTTGGCCAACAGCTCTAGTTGGGGAGAGAACATGAGGCTGCTGGGATCCTCAGCAAGCCTTAAGTGGAGATGACCCCTCTCCACCAAAATGCTTGGCTTCTGTCTCAGGTGGCTGCCATTACCCAAAAATATGTGGGGGAGAAAAAGAATGAGCTACAAAGAGGGCTAAAAATAGGCATTTTAATTAATGAAATGTGAATTGGAGGAGGCAGCTTGGCACTGGATGAATGTCTGCCCATGGCAAACACCCTGAAACTCCCTGGCCCCTAGCAGGTTTGGTCACCCACCAGTGCTGTTKGCAAGTATTTCTGGGGCTCTCCCCAGGCAGAGGACACCACTAATAMTAAGGAGACAGGAGATGCTTTGGACACTGTGCTGGTGTTTTTGTTTTCAATCARATAAGTCCAAACACCTTTCAGCACCGCTGAAGTTTGCAGTGGCTCCTGCATGGGGCTGGGTGGGGGTCACAGCATGTTGGTCCCTGGGGGCTCTCCCAGGATCATGGAAAGGCTTATGGTGGCCCCCAGCCAAAATGTGACCTCTGTTCTGGGTATCTCCCTTTGTGGTGGGTTGTGCTGCTCTGATTTTTGGGCTTAGCTCCTTGACCAGCCTCCCCCTCCTTTCCACATAATAAATAAATAAATTCAYCTGGTATGCAAATACACAGGAAAAAAGGGAAAAAAMCCAAACCTCCAAAACCAAGTTTGAAGAGCACCAAACCAGAAAGTCWCTTCATTTTGTTGCAGCCCAAGTGCCATCCAGGGCTCTTTGGGCAGTTTCCAGTCTCTGCTGGTGTACGAAGGCACTAAACCAGTAAGGCCTCTGGGGTCTTGGTGCTTGTGGCACCACAGGGATCTTGTCCTTGCCCCATCCCAGCTGGCTCAGGGGGTGGCAATCCAGAGGTGCTTGGTGCTGTCCCCCTCTGCTTGCCCTCACCCTCCTCTTCCTCAGTGCAGCCCCCAAGCTGAGGAGGTGGCCCTGGTGCTGATCCCACTGCCCCTCACCCTTGCCATTCCTCCATTCCTGGAGAAATGGTGTAATTTGGGCTCTGCAGGACCCTTGGGCCAGCTCTGCCAGGAGCTCCCAGTGCTCCAGCTCCTGGGGCTGCCAGCTGGCAGCAGCGAGGAGCATTTTCGGGAGCAGGGACCCTCAGGTCATCTCCGGGCCGGCCGGGAGCGTGGCCGCAGCCCCTCATTCTGCCCCGCCGCCGTCCCCCCACGCCGTTACGTGACCCAGGCGGGCTGTGCCTCCTCCAGCAGGCTGAAGGAGCGGTTGGCCAGTGCCGCGGGGCTGCCGGCCAGYTTGTAGCCGAAGAGCCGCATGGCCGGGGCGCAGGCGTCCTGCACCACCTGCGCCAGCTTGAAGGGCATGCTGAACCGCCACTTGTCGAACTGCTCCGAGGAGTTCTTGCAGGTGGAGTAGACACCGTTGCCGTCGTGGGGCGCCTGTGTGTTTTTGCCGATCCACTCCTCCACCTGCGGGGTGAGGGGCAGCCCGGCGAAGCGGTACATCTCCCGCGCCTTCTGCAGCGGCGCCCGCGCCACGTCCTCGTAGCGCACCAGCATGTAGCGGCCCCGCAGCCAGCCCGGCCGCCGCAGCCCCAGCTCCGCCGACACACGGATGCTCTCGCAGTTSCCCCGCAGCCGCTGCACCTCCTCCTCGCGCAGGGGAGCTTCCCCTTCGGACGCCCACTTCTTCCAGGTCTCGTACTTGCCCGAGAAGGCCACCATGCGCGAGGCCAGGACCGCCCGGGGGTCCCGCACCAGCTGGATGATGCGCAGGTCCAGCCGGGGATCCTCCACCAGCGGCTGCAGGAACTCCAGCTGCCGGATGCGCACCGTCTTCAGGGCYACGTGCTGCTTGCGCCTGCAGGCCTCGGCCGCCAGCGTGATGTTGAGGGGGCCGCAGCGGCGGGTCTTGCAGTAGTACTTCTCAAAGACCTTCTTGGCGCTGGGCGTGCAGACGGGCTCCTCACAGAGCGAGCGGCTGGAGCCCCGGCGAAACAAGAAGGGCGTCAGGTGGCCCTCGGGYGCCGGCGAGATGAAGTTCTCCAAGATGTAGAGGTCGCAGAGGAGGAGCTGCTTGAGGACATCCCGGTAAACCAGGGCCGAGCCCACAGCGCTGGCTCCCCCCGGCAGGAAGGTCACAGTCTTCTCGACGTGCCAGAGGGGYTCGAAGAGGTAGAAGATGCTGCCTTGCTGGTTGAAGAACTCTCCGACGAAGGAGGAGCCAGTGCGGGTGGTGGCCATCAGCAGGACGTGCCGCCGCGGCCCGGGGTCCCCATCCCCTGCCAGCTGCAGGGTGATGTTGTACAGGTGGGATCTCAGCTGGGAGAAGGCAGCATCCAGCTCCTGCAGCGAGGCCAGTGAGCCGTTCTCGGCCGGTGCTGGGCTCCCCTCCGTGCCGTTGGCCTCTGCCAGCGCCTGCGGGGACTGCTTCAGCTTGTCCGACACCCTGCGGGGAGACCCAGCCCAGCCTGGAGGAGAGCGGGACCACCCTGCATCCCAGTGGGGAATTTGGGTGTCTCCCATTGCACGGGAGCTCAGGATGTGGGGGAAAAGCACGGGGTGACTCAGGTGCCTGCTCCCTACCTGGAGATGAAGTTGTTCTCCTTCTCGATGATGACAAGGCTTATGACGAAGACCAGCAGGATGGCATACTTGCTYCTCATCTTCAAGCAGTGCAGCAGCTCCCAGATATCCTGCGGCAGAGAGCGTCGAATCTCCATGGGGAATACACACAGGTCCCTCCTGMTCTCTTGGGCTAGAGCCTTGCCTGACTGTGGAGAGAGGAAGGGTCAGCATGGCCGTGGTTCCCTGCTGGCAGGGTCAGGGGCTGACAAAGGCTTGACGAGAGCRGCAAAAAAGGGGGAGCTCCTCCCTACTGCTCCATCCCACCCCTGAGGAGCAGCTGYCTGAAGGCCCCATCGGCTGTTTCCCCTCCTTCCCAAAATACATCTGCCCAACAGGACCCCTTCCCACGCCTCCTCCAGTCACCCCTGCCCACCCTGAAACACAATCCCTGCCACCTGGCAGCTGCCTGCTCCCCGCTGGCAAAACCTTGCTGCTGGCAGCGAGGGACCCCTGGATGATCCTGATCTTTGGCACATTGTGGCTGCCAGCCTCTGGAAAGGGGAGGGTTGGAGGCTCYGCTGCGGGGCTGAGCAGCTTCCCCCAGCATGGCAGCAGCAGCAGCTGCTGAGCCTCGAAAATGAAACCCAGAGAGTTTCAGGAACTACAGTGGGACCGGAAAACGCTGCTGTTGCCAGTCCCCCTCGGGGAGTTGAATGCTCCGGGGGAGGTTTTAGCCAAAAGAAAAAAAGCCTTAAATGATGGTTTAGCTGCTTGATGGGTGATTCAAAACCAAGGAGACTCGGCATTCCCAGCCCCCCAGTCTTTCCTTCCACGCTGGAATCAGGGTGTTGGTGGAAACTGCTCTGAGTTGCACCAAACCGACGTCCCAGATGGAGATTTCGAGGGCCAAAACTGCTATTTCAGACTCTGGGGCTGGTCTCCAGCATGCAAATTTAYACCCCTAGGCCTTGCTGGCACCTGCTACCTGCCCGCTGGTCCGTGYGCCTGGTGCCTGGCTGGCCACGTGGGTGATGCCGTTTGCTCGTCCTGCTTTCTTGGCCAGACTTTCGGTGACTCAGGGAAAATCTATTCYGCTTTGGCTTGGCTCCGCCAGCGCTAGCCCAGCAGCCTGTCCCACTCCTGCTTTGGGGTGAAGGAGGGGAGCCAGGCAGAGCCTCGTCTTTTGGGGGGCCCTGGGGTTTGCTGGAGGGGAGATGCCCTGGCCAAGACTCAGTATCTGCAGCCGTTGGCAGAGCRTGGAGAACTTTGCCAGGAATTGCGTCACGTCCCAACCTCTTCCACGTCGYGCTCGGCCAAAATGTGCATTTTTTAGCGTTGCTCATTGTATGCCCCTCCCGCTGGGAAGGAGGGAACATGGGCAGGAGGGGTGGGATGTGTCCTGTGGCCAGGACAGCACCCCAGCCTGTCAGGTTCTCAGTCCTCTCTGTGTGAGGACCAGGAATTTCCCAGCTTGAGCAAATCGCTCATCTCCCAAGGCTTGGCTTCCAGCCACCCCTTCCCAGCAAAACCTTCTAAAAAGAGACATTCACACCCACGCACCCAGGAAACTCAGGATTCAGTAGGATGCAGGGACTCTGGAGAGCCCTGGCAGCCCCAGAGCTCTCCCACAGTGGTCCCCCAGCTCTCCTCTTCAGCAAGCGGCACCGATATCCCCGGCACACACGTGTGTGTGTGTGCGTGTTGTGTGTGTTTAACAGCCCTGTTAATTCAGTTTGTCATCTCGCCGCTCCTCGGGGACAGCCRGACAGGTGCCTTTCGCCAGCCACCCCCCAGATTCCCCCTCCTCGGTCGTGCCCCCTCGATGATAGGACTTGTCGGAGTGTTTGAGCAACCGAAGGAAATCAAATCCACAAAGCCCTCGGTGCGCGGCCGCGTCTCGGCGCTCGGCGGAGTCGCGGCAGCCCAAGGCGGGGTGATCCGCGTCCCTGCCCTCGCCTGGGGCKGGGGACAGTCCCCTTGCTGCCCGCACGAACAGGGAACGGCATCAACCGCTTCCTCGGACAAATCCCTRGGTAAAGCCAGCCCGGGGTTTTCCTCCTCTAATGCCCCCAGCCGACCACAAATGAGCCACAGACCGGGAATTATTCACAGGGATGACACAGAGAAACACGTCCAGCAGCGCTGGCAAAACCCTCGTTCACAGGCCGGGGRCAGGCATAATTCATTAAATAAACAGCCGGCTGCAATCGTCCCTCCTGGGACCCGCGGGGCGGCGGTGACAGGAGCGGGGGCCCCGCCAGGGCTGATCCGTGGGGCTGGGGACACGCGGGTGACCCGGCGAGGCTGCCTGGGACCGCTTGGCATCCTACAGCTCTTCCTCCTAAAGCTGGGGCTCACGAAGAGCAGCCCGGCCAGGGCAGCACACAAGCCACAAGCTCCCCTTTGTTAGTGGGAACAGAGGGGCTCTGTGCCCCCGCACGTTCCCCTCCGGGGCTCTGCTGGGATGGGAGGGATGGGGAGAGAATCTTCGGGATGCTGCTGCCGCCCCAGGGTGCCTCACCAGCGTGTGCTCCTGGGGAATGCACCTGTGTGGGCAGAGAGGTGGACRAGAGTCATCCCTGGGGACCGGCCAGCGCTCTCCTCTTGCTCTCCCGTCCCAAAGCAAAGCGGAATCATTTCCAGGAATGCTAAACTAAGATGSCCCGGATGGCAGCACCCACAGCTCAGATGCTGCTCCCTGCCTTTTCCTATTCCTCAGACTGGAAGTGCTTTTCARTTCAGAGCGGATGGCTACAATTCTCACTGTGGGGATGATAACAGCATTTGTGGATTTCCCAGATGACTCAAAGCCAGAAAAGGAACCTTTTTGGGTGTGGGGATTTTCTTTTCCATGCAGAGCTGCCCAGGCAGGATCTGTCTCTACCAGCAGGTTAACTTAACCTGCCACAGCAAGCAGGAAGGACTTGGACAGTAAAAGAGACTCCAAATCATTGCAGTCTGCTGGAGCAAGTCCGTTCATGGGATGGATATCCCACTGGTGGTGCAGGTGGGGTGAGAAGAGCAGAGGCCCCGTGAGGGGAAGGAGGGAAGGGATGCTCTTGTTATCCTTCTGCAGAGCATTCCACAGGACTGCCTGACTGGAAGAGCAGCGCAGGGGTTTTCAGTTCAGTTTTGAGAAAGTGCCAGATTTACACGAAGCCTTGGGGCTCTCATTCCCCAATTTTGGCTGCCCTGAACCCCTGCCAGGTGGGATCCAGGAAAGAAAGATGCCTGGGGTTGCCAGGGGCAGCCAGCTGGAGGTGAGACTGGATGAAGTCACATTTTCCTCTGGTGACTCAACAGAGCTCTGGACACAGACAGGCAAAGAATCACCTACATGCTAGCGTTCCCTCCCTGCCTGAGATCCTCCAGTCCATTGAGCTCCCACCCACTCCCGTGCAGTGTGAGCCCACAGTGACCTGCAGCTGAGCTTGATACCCCTGGTGCTGCTGCTCTGAGCAATTCCCTCCACCATCCTTTGCTTCATCAGATTTCCAGCAGACACYCCTAGCAGCAAAACACAGGGGCAGAGCAACAAAGAGATAAGGAGCACGGGCTTATCTTCTCTCCATGCTGCTCTTTGTCTGCAACCTGGGGGAAAAAAAAACCCCTCTGTATTTACTCTTTCAACTATTTCCGCTCCCAACTTCCTCCTTGGCTGGCCTTGGGAAATGTGCCACCAGAGCTTCCCACTTYGCTTTCATCTCCCAGCAATTTTTATCCTGGCCCTGGCTCTCCTCCAAGGCATGGCACGAGCACAGCACTGCTTTGGTTTGCCCTGCAGCACAGCTAAGGAGCCTGTCCAGGCAGGTATTTTATGGTTAAAAACATGTCTAGTTAAGCTAAAAAAAAAGAGGGGAAAAAGAAGTCACCTCCTATGATGTTTATAAAGTTGCCAAGAATAGTCACAAGCCTCACCAAATTGAAGCCTGGAAACTGCCCATTGGAGGAGAAAGTTGGGAATGGAAAGTCAGGAGCACTCAGGAGCAGCAGCAGGAGTGAGTGTTGGTACAAACAGGCACCACTGAAACAACTTTGTTTTCATGGCACGAGCTCTCAAACTCCAGGTGCACAAGGTTTTCTCCTGTCCACTCTTCACTGTCCCACCTTGAGCTCTGTGATGACCCAGATCAGCTGTCCTTGTTCCTCRTGTCCCAAAAAACACTGCCCAGAAGGGGTGTAGAGGATGGTGAGGGCCCAATAATGCTGGCGACAGGACCAGTACAGGCTTTGTGGCCAGGACAGACCAGTCTTTTCTCTCCCTCCCCTCGGTGGTGTTCTAAGAGAAGTGTTTGCTCCTGATGCAGCAGAGAGGAGAGCTGCTGCTCCCACCCCTGGCGAAGGTGATGGGATTTAGAGACACTGGTGCTGGGCACGGGGGTAAAACTCGTGCATCTGCCAGGCAGGGACCAGCCTCCGGAGCTGGATCTGGACCATGAGCCCGCTAAAACACCTCCAACCTTGAAACCACTTGCTGGAAACTGCAGACACGGCTGGGGTGGGGTTTGCAGCACCACCTGCTGCAAAGGTGAACGATTGAACGCTGGGCACAGAGAGGGGCTGTGAACAGACCACCAAGACGGGTGRGAGGACGGGCCGGCCCCGTTCGCTCGGCGCCGGCGGCACAATGCCGGCTGCTGTGCGTGCCGGCGGCCCCCGGCCACACTGGGAACCGCAAATGTCGGTCCCTGCTTCAATGAGCCCTTTCTTTGGGGCGCAGAGYCCGCGGTCCCTCCCACCGCCCCGCACTCCTCCTCACTGCTCCACGCTCGCCCGGAAGCTCCTCCGCCAAACCCAGCCCAAAAGCAGGGATACCGCTCTCTCTGTGCCCGGCTCGTCTCCCCTTTGAGCCCGAGACAGGCGTCTGTAGGACTCCAGAGATCYAGGAGGGACTGGTGGCAAGAGATGTTCGCCCTGGGGAGCAGTGACCTGTGCTCGGGTCAGCACAGGGGAGACCAAGGGTATGAAAAGAGTCGTGTGTTGAAGCAACATGGCAGATGTTGGAAAATTTCAGAGTTCAGTGCCTGTCATGGTGTGGTGCTGTAAATCGTTGACTGCAGAAAAAGAGACACTTCCCTCCGGGCGCCAAAGCCAGGCTCAGTGCAAAGGCAGTGGGGCGTGGGCAGCTCTCCCCAGTGTGGCCGGGAGCAGCTGCTGAAACAGGCACTGATGGGGGGACTCTGCTGGCCTGGCCTTTTCTCCCCAATGTCCCCCCGTGCCGGCCAGGCCCCCATGTCTGGGGCCATGAGGGTGTCGGAGTCCCAGCTCCGGCAGAAATGCCGCTGGCTCCCGGGTGCCTGGAGCCGGCCGAGGGCCAGCGTGCCCCGGCGGCCCCGGGACAGGAGGGGAAAGG